ATTTGATCAAGAAAAATTTAAAAGAAACTTTTGACGATTATTAGAATTTTTGAATATCGCAATATTGTATATTTATTCTTTTATTCAATACTTTTAATCTAATAATAAGTTAAATAATTAGATATCTTGGGATCCTTAATTTCTCGATATTTTTCATATCTCGAAAGGAAGGAGAATTTATTTGAACCGAAATGAAATCTCGCGCAACTTTTCGAAAGTACGATTGAAATAATTTTTTACGTGCAGCGTATAACTTTTTCAACTTTGATCAGTTAAATTTTTCATCGATTTTCGTCGAGTTTTTACACCCCTCGTCATTTTCCCTCTACACGAATAAGATTATCGTTATTAAAATCTGAAAGAACCTATTATTATCCGTATAAAGTGTCAATTTTAAACGATTCTAATTAATTATATATATAACGTGTATGTGAATTATATATGTTAATTTTTCTCGATGAAATCGCGAGAGAAAAAAACAAAATCCGTCAATTCTCGATGTTTAATTGTATATTCCGGTAGATTTTATTCAACAATCGAGAATTAGAACGAATATAGATTATTATTAAGGGATATGAAACGTGAAATCGGGCGGAATTAAATATTCAATCAGATTCTGAATATCGAATGAAGGAGGAAGAACGCAGACAAATGCCTTTATGAAATTACGTTAAACGATCGACCGCCGCCATAAAAACGTCGAATCTGTTTCCATGGATCACGTCGAACCGTAAAAAGTTCGTATCTCCTCCTTTGTTAACCTTCCCTCAGTTCCCGGATATTCAATCGTGCTTCCGTCTTCACTTTTATTCGAACATGGGAACATCTCACCGATCCGTCGATATTTCATAGATTTTTTTTTTTTTAAGATCTCTTTTCTTATCTTTACCCTCACGAAAAAAGCGAGATGAATATATTCGTGGATTATTCTTTTCTTTTTGCGAGATCCGTGTGTAGAATCGTAAATCGAAGGAATGACAATGATTTTATTACACAATTGTAATATCTAATCTTAATAGATTATGAAATGATTCGATTAGAATAAAGAATATATAGTAAAAAAGAATATATTTAATAAAGGAAATAGGAATAAGCTATGTTATATAGATGTTTGGGTCGATGTTTTCGTTCCGCTACACTGAGCTCACTATGTCGTTTAGGACGGTTCGAAAAGGAGGGGAAAAACAAAACAGAATCGAAACAGCGATCGTACGCAATTCACGGATAAATATACAAGATACGAGTCGCGTATATAAACTCAACGATCCGAATTCCGTCATTCTATTAAATTTTTATCGAATGTATTAAACTTAGATAATTTTTATATTTGTCATTAATTAATTCTTGAAAAACTATCGAATTGGACGAGTAGAGAAATCTTTGTATTTCGTTAACAATTAACGAAAAATAATTGGATATTACAAATTTGATCGACGATACAAATTTTTTTCGATGCATTCTTTTCAAAAAAAAAAAAATATTTAAAAAACGATAGATTTCATAATTGTACATGTTTACACATCGATAAGTATTACACATCACAAAGTATCTCGTTGAAATTAATGTAAGAGTGAATGACACGAGCGACAAAGTTGGAAGAAGCTATTCCATAGAGGATGAGGCGGAAGAAAGTTCCGAGTGGCGTGGACGGGGTCGGTTTCAATCGGAAATGGGCTTCCAACCAGCCGAATAAACGACAACCGAGCCACGATAGACGCGGGTCGAGGCGCAATTTAAACTTTCTCGTTCTCGCTTATGGCTCCTTCGTCCAACGAGATTCCGGCTGATAGGCCGAAAGAAGGATGGCAAAAGATGATGGCACTGACAATGTACATAAACCTATTTCTAAAAATATCGACAGATTTTGGCAACGATCTTACAAAGATTCTTCGTTCTTCATCGAAGAACCAGATTTTTACTAACAAAACATTTTTAAAAATAGAATTTTTTTGTTGGATAGCATATAACTTTCGTGCTACAACTACGATATGTTTGAATTTTTTCGGATAATTATTTAAAATTAATCGCAAGATTGAGAAAATATCCCTTTTTCAACAAAGAGAAAGGAAAATTGGTGAAACGAAACACGAGACTGCAATGGTGCAATAGGTCAATATTTGAAATAGAAAGAGAATTTTACATGGAACGATCAAAGCGATCACGAATACTTTGGCGCATTTCCGGCGAATAGGAATCAAAGTTAACGTTTAATTTTGAATTTAAACGATCGAAGGTATACAAAAAAAATATTTTTTTTTGTATTTTATTTCATACGAATATTCCCATCGAGATGTAATATTCAATAGAATACGTCAAATGGAAATACGTTCGATTAAATTTAATTAACGAAATTTCTAATTATCGACAACACGTCTAGTGCGAATGAATCCGCACTCGATATCCAAGCGCAAGGCAATCGTATTAAAAACAGCCTCTGACTCCCCGACCCCCGCCTAAACGATACCTCCAACTGACTCACAATCACTTTCAAGTTTTACTCGGTCGGTAAGAACAGTTGCCCGCCCAATTCCCTTCCACTTAGCCGAGTGGATCGAACTTGCCTACTTCTGCGGACAACTATACGCTGCAAACAGAACTGCGTAGAGGAGCAAACTTGTTCGACTTTCTTCGTGTTTCTAATAAAGTCTCGTAAACTAATTTCTCTTTCACATGAAGTGAATTGCGATGTTAAAAAATTGGCGAAATTGTGACACGGTATTTATAAATATAGATATTGGAACAAAATTGTACATTACGTTTAACGATATACAACGATATATGTGTAAATCATCCACGATAAACGAATGGCTCCTGTGTTTCTGGAAAAGTATATTCGTATATTCTGAATCCACAGCCTCATGTAAATTACATAAAGCATAGTTACGAGAGAACATTGAGCTGAACTTTAGCACGAATGTGTCATCACTTTCGAAGACTTTGTAAATTACGTTTGGGAGGAAATTGCAATTGGAATTGAAATTATGTTTAAAGATAAAATTAATAATTAAAGAATCTCTTATAAAAACTCAAAAAGTTAATTGATAATTATTTACAAGAAGATATTAGCTTTCGTGTTGATGACTTTTTAATGTAACAAAAATAATTTAGGTTAGGTTAACCCAATCATTAAATCGCCTAACGATTAAACGACTTTCTATTTAATTTTGATTCAAGTATATCGATATGAAACAAAAATTTATTCAATTTTTAGTTTTATATTAGATTAAATTATGTTAGATCAATCGATTTTTTAATAAACAATCAAAAAATCATCGAAATCATATAATAATATCTTTTTATGAATATCTATCGAAAATTTGTACATCAGTGACTAGATTCCTATTTAAAACATAGAGATATAAGAAACGCATTCGCATAAATTGAACTTGTATTGCGATTATTTACGAAAAAATAGCTCGGTTCTCCTGCGAAACGATGAGAATTAAAAGCGCTAAGAAAATGAAGGAAGAAAGAAAAAAGAAATCGAAGTATTTTCGAGTAAATCCGGATAAATGCGCGAGGCTAACGAAAAGGGAGAAGAGAGAAAGAGTAGAAATTACGCGCATCCGCCGTAAAATATCCTTTTATGAATACGGTGGACTCGGATCTTTATGAAACACCGTCATTTCCGTTCTTCCATACTGGAATGCACGGCGCGAGTAAATTAAACGTTTCAGCTAGAACAACATCGGGTAGATGATACGGTACAGTAGCTAGCGAATGTAAGAGCAGAGGAAACACGATTTTTATTAACACGTTGTTCTGCGTTGGACGGAGTTGGACGTTTTACGACTTTCTCTTCGTATCTACTTCTCCCCCTTTTCGCGCTTTTTCGTCGAGACAATAGCACGTTCCACTGGAGGTTATATCCAGAGTTGGACGCTAATGAGCCGAAAAATAAATAAGAAAATTTCGAATAATGTCGTTTTAACATTTTTTCGTTCGTCTTAAAGAGAAACGTAGTTAATCGCTCTTTCTTTAATACGCGCGATCATATCTTCGTTAAATGCAAAACAAAATTTCATGAAAATTAATAACGAAGGGGCGTGATCAACGAATGAACGAATGTTACGATAGCATAGTCAAGGTGTGCGAGATATTGTTAAATTGTAAGAGTGAGTCACGAGAGCGTGCAGAAGGTTTCTTCTTTACCTACGAAACCTAATAGAGGAATTAAAAAGGTATGAAACTCGAGGCAAAATAGAAATAGTTGTAAACACACTTGTCAAGGTTGCTCGAGCTCAGTCTCTGAATCGACTCCCAAGGACACGACACTTAACTTGTTAAACTTCGTTCTCACTTCGATCGTTCAAATTTTCCTCGTCACGAATTCGAATACGCAACAACGTTACACTTGCTTCCAATAATAAATTATTCGAGTAGATTTATTAAAAAACTTTAATCGATCAATTTTGTCTCGATAAATCATTGTCTTAAAAGAATACTTAAGAAATACATTTTTCTTCGAGTTTTAAATATCAAGAAGATGAGATATATTTCAAGTTATGAATTATGAAAAAACCAGGACGGAAGAATACCAGGGTTTGCCGTATTCATTCCAATTTTCCATAAATTCGACCGGTAAAAGCATCGAAACGATGAAAATATACGCAGAATATTCCGATACGTGACCGTGCATCTCCATCCGCCGAGTCGAATTCGTCGCTCTTCTCTTATTCATAAATTTACTAAAACTACGCCACTCGTGAACGCCTTCCATTTTCGATGGAATAATCACGATGCCGCTTATTACACCCTATACATTGATCGATCGATAGATATCTCGAGAATACACGTCAGGAATCACGAGCAAAGGTATTCTTGCGTGAAATTTTTAATTAATACCGGTTTTTGTTCCGACTGAAACATTACTAGTATATTGATGTATAGGTATAATTGACAAATACATATTTTTGTACACGTCGTAATATTCGAGATATTCGAAAAAAAAAAAATATTTCGACAAGGGAAAAATCGATAAAAGAAAATTGTTTTTACAGCAAAGTTGGATGGTGTGAAAACGTACATGAGGATGAGAAGAGTGCCGAAACATCTTCAGGTAAAGGTCATTAAATGGTTTGACTATTTATGGTTGACGCAAAAATGCTCGGACGAAGAGAAAGCTGTCAGCTGTCTTCCCGGTAAGTTTTCCTTTGTTCGAACAAAGAACAATTCCGGATAGAGCAAATGTACGTTTGTCTAATAAGAAAAAATTTAAAAATGAATGAAATATCAAATGAACGTCTTTTTCTCGTTATATATATTTATTCCACGGAATTTGCATCATTTTGCATAAATACTTTTACCCCTCCCCTTATTCTTTTCATACACATGAATCGCGTGTCGTCAAGATTCATTCCACCGAATTTATTTTTATTTTATTTTTTTCTTTTTTTTTATTCGTCGTTGCTGCGATCTTATTTCATCTTGCTCTTAACTCGCGAGCAGAATTTTCTTGCTTGATTTTATTTATTTAATCCAAACATGGAAGAGGAGATATTAAAAAATATAATAATATTATTATAAAATCCCTTCAAGAATATCTTCATCCCTCGACAATAATCAAAAATATCGCGTAACAAAAAGACGAAGAAGAAAGTTTTCCAAGTTTTCCAAAGTTTTAATCGTAGTTGGGACAAACGTTGCAGACAAACTGAAAGCCGAAATCGCGATAAACGTGCACCTGGACACGCTGCGGAGAGTGGAAATATTCCAGAACACGGAGGCTGGCTTCTTGTGCGAGTTAGTTCTCAGATTGCGACCCGTTCTTTTCTCACCTGGCGATTATATTTGTCGCAAAGGTAATAACCATCTCTATTATTTTTTTCCCCTCTTCTTTTTCCTTCTCTCTTTCCGCTTTTACACGTCGCGACACGTTTTTCCTGGACACTGGAAGCTTTTGGAACGAGAGCAACTGGAACCGCGCCAAAAGATGTATCCTGGCTGGCAGAGGTTCGAAAAACCGATTGCCTACCCTTCCCACTTGGCCTCGTTGCCAATGGCCGTACCCAGAAGGCGCGCAGTTACGAGCGAGAAATACTTTATTCGAAAGGATAGGCGTATCCGTGAACGCGAGACGCGAGGAGACGCGAGGAGACGCGAGGAGACGCGAGAGCAGAGTTTCGAACGACCGTCTGCGAACCGGTGCGAAAATCTTATCTTCACGCCCGTTTATCAACGGCACGATTTAACCGAGAAACTGAATGCGTTTGATAACTCTGAACTGTTAAAACAAACGATAAGAAACTATCGTTTCGAAAACGTTCGAAAACTTCTCAAATGGTTAAATTAGTATTTTCTCGGATAAGTCGTAGAGGATCGATTATCGATCGTGGAGAAAAAAGAGAATTGGAAAGAAAGATTATACAAGAGAAGAATAAATCCGAAATCGTTCGAAATCACCGACTTAAATTTTTTAATTAAAATCGACCGAACAGTTTACCGTTGGATACGCGATTGGTCATTGTTTCTCCTTGATGGACCGTGTAAACGAATAGGAGCAGTCAGGAGCAAATAACGTTCCTCTTTTTGTAAGAACGAGAAACGAAAGGAACGAAGAGAAGAGAAAGAGAGAAGTCGTTGACTCGGCGCTCTTCATCGGCGTGGAAACGACCGTCGCACGATCCGTTGGAACAGTCACCGTTTTCTAGATGCTTCCGTTTAATGGCCGACCTCTTCTCGAAGCGCATCACTGCCGCACAGTTGGCAAACTTATCCCGACTTATGGCTGACCGTCGCTACTGAAAGACGACAGATGCCGCTACCGTTTCCATGCTTCCTCCTCTCCCAATGTTCGTTTCGGTTTTCAAAACTACGTGATATGTCGTATGCCGTGGTTAAAATTAAAACGTTGCACTTGAAACGTACGACCAATTATAACAATAATTAAAACTTTATTTCTTAACGGTAATAGGAAAAGTTAATAAGTATACGTAGAATAGAGAATCAAGTTTTGACATCTCGTGATGTAGGTCTAATCTTCGTTAAGTAATATAACAAGCAGACCAACTAACAAACTTAAGGACGTTAGGGTAAAGGATTGTGACGCGGTAGAAGTAGAGAAGTATAGAACGTTCAACCGTTGTACAAAGTGCAAACAGAAAGATAAATAATTCTTCGTCTTTCTCGATCCTGTTCTTAAAACTTAAGAATTTCTTTTATTCTCTTATCCCTAGTGGAAAATTAATTTTAAAAATTGGTATATTCGTATTATGAAATTTGTTTAAGGTGAGGTAGGGAAGGAGATGTACATAGTGAACAGAGGGCGACTACAAGTGGTGGCCGATAACGGGAAGACAGTTCTCGCTACCCTTAAGGCTGGTTCCTACTTCGGGGAGATCAGCATTCTCAATATGAGGACTGCAGGTAAAGAGTGCGGTAAATATTCCAAGCGGACCAGGGGCCCGTCAGCTGTCCCCCTCTCGTGTTTTCACGATCACGTTTATCACGTTTCACGTTCTTACTACTCTGTGAGAGGCAAGCCGTCGAGCCGGTATGAGCCGATCTAAAAACCGAATTTTCTAATAACTCTTTTCTCTCTCTCTTTCTCTCTCTCTTGTCACTCTTTTACCATTTTATCCAACATTCCATTATTGTTGATTTTTCTTCTATTACGATCGACGATCACGCAACACGAAATAAATAATATTTTTTAATATTTTTATATATTCGATGAAAAATTTTTAACGTTTTAAAATCTATAAATATAAAGAGTAAATAAATTTTCCAATGCTATGGTATCAATGATAGCTATTGCCTATTCAAAGGATCTTGACTAACTCACTTTGTTATTCTGATTCGAGTATCCATCCATTTGTTTGTCCTTGTCCCTTTCCATTCGCTATCATTAAACGGATTCGTCAAATGAACTTACGTTCGAATCATAAAATGAAAAATTAATGTAATGAAGATACAATTATTAAATAATTATTCCAAGAGATTATTTTATTTTTTTCTTGCAAATATGACGAAACAAAGGGGAAAAAGAAATACACGTTGTTAATGCATGGAAATTGAAGAGAAATTGAATGAAAACTTTAAAGTTGACGCACGTTGTTTATAATTCCCATGAATATTCACGCTCGTACGAGTCGAGTTTAAAAATTCCATTTAATTCTCTCGTCCATAGCGATTCTCTTTTATCTCGAAAGACATATGCTCGAACATAACCTCTTTCTTACGTACACGTTTACTATTTTCTCTTTTTCAATTCGTCGGGAGAACAATAGATGCATGGAATTAAAATGAAATCAATGGCACGAAGTCGTTGCGAGATCGTCGATATGTATTGAATAAGGCTCGTGACACGTATTACTCTTTAGCCTTTGCCCCTCTGTTTTTATCGATTATTGTCTTCCAGCCGATAAACCAACATGACCTACAGCAATGTAATGGATATGAAAATATACGATATTTTATAACGGGAAGCCGTACACGGCCTCGACCGTGATAAAAATACTAGCGTGCCGAAAATACGAGCCGCGATGGAGAGAGAGAAAAAAAAAAAATATCAATCTTGTTGCGGGTCTTGTCGGTCGATCGATCTAAAATCAACGGAGATACATACACAGTGATCCAGTAATCGCAAACGAAAAAAAGGAATGATTCTTCCACTCTTCGCTTATTTGATCATCTCCTTTCTTGATTGTACCTCCGTATTTCTAGGACACCCTGTACTTTTGGTCACTCATATTTTATCACGCTTCCGTAGTATACGTTAGAATATTTTAGTTTAGAAATCGAATCCCCATCTTTGATAATTAGACTCTCCTCTTTGGTTTTTTTTTTTTTTTTTTTTTTTCTTATCGATCGATTGATCGCTTTTGATGACATGCTAACACGTATCGTTCTTTGCGATCTTATATTTTGTTTTATCTACATTACGTGGAAGGAAATATTTGCGAATCGTCCATGCGAAACAAACGTTTCGTTTGTACAAGAAATTGTGAAATTTCGAATATTAATTCGAGTCGTATCGTCAATCAAACCCGATTAATTTATCAGTCGTCGAAAATGAACAAATAGCGGTAAATTGCCACCGATGGATATTGTGCACGGATATATACAGACGCCAGGAACAGAGAATTTTAGAGGTCAATTGTAATTTTCTTTCTACCGTTATTTTTCCTCTCCACCATTTGTCTCTCACTGGCCATATTTTTCTTTTCATAAATTTATCTCTTTCTCTCAATGTTTATTTTCTTTTTTCTTTTTTTTTTTTTTTTTTTAATATATAAATATATGCACAATATTTTTATAGAAAAATGTAGATTTCTCTATCTGTCTTATATAAATAACAAAATTTTGTATTTATGAAAACAATAATTTCAGTCATAGCGTTAATATTAAGATATTATTATATGATACAGATAATAATTTTTCGAATATAACGGTAAATATTCCTTCATTTACGTTCATTTTTTTAATATAAATGCACTATTTATATCTTATTATATTTTTCACGATTCTATCTAATCTGCATTCGGAATTAACATTATTTTTCATATCCATATTTTTCATATCCATACTTTTTATATTCATATTACATTGATTATAGTAGATAGTTATTTATATTATATTAGACAATCCAAGAATATCAATACTTTTAGGAAGATCAATTTCTACTAAATTAATATTAAAAATGTAAAAGATATTTAATATTTTATATTATATTTTATATATATATTTTATATTATACTTATTAAGAAAAATATTGAATTTTTACATAAAAGAGAAAAAATTAATAATATATATAAATCTAAAACGAATTCAAAATTTAAATATATATATATATATATATAATTATTATTAAAATATATGACAATAAATATTAAATTATATCAATATTGCCTCATAATTTAATTTATTATAATTAATTGTAATTGAAACGAATGAATCGAAAAAATTAAATTAATTAAATTTTTATCAAATTATCAATAATTTATAATTTTCATATTGACTTATAAAATTTTTCGAATTGCAAAAATATATTTTTCATCTGTTTCGAATAAAACCATACAATCTATAATATTGCCTATACCGCGTCTACATGTGTGCACATGAACGAAAAGTGTATTTACATTTTAGTCATCGATAGAACGTCCCGTCATCAGTTTTGAAATAAATACACATTCCTTCGTATTTGCCTACGTATAATACGAATTCTTTGCATGTTCGAATATTATTTACACTTTACGCAAATAAATTAAATTTTATTCTTTATCTTTGTGAATTAAATTGCAGTAAATTATTCCTTTTATCACTTTGACAGTTAAATTGCACCGTCAATAATTCGATATGTACGATTTCAATATATTTTCACATTCAATCTCATATTTCTATTTCTTAAATATAAATGTGTAGTTAGAATTAAACGTTGATTAATATTTTTCAATATCTTTCATCGTTTACGATTTATAAGCATTTAAATACTAAATACAACTCGGAAGGAATAATTTCTCTTTTAAAATATAAATACGAATTGAGAAAAGTAAGGTTAAGTTGATCTGATAGCGTAAAATTTTAACATACGAAAATTGATACATACTAATATTTTTTTGCGATAAATAATAACGATTGATACATGTAAAATATGAATTTCTTGATCAAAATTTCAATCGCATTATTTTTATATCCACATATTTCGACAAAATAATTGTATATATTTTTTAACGATTCTAAAATTTAAAAATTCTTTAAAATGTTGCATTTTTTTTAATTCCGTAACATTTTACTTGCTAATAAGTTATTTACTTCAATATTTGAAATAAATAAGTAAGAATATCAATGTATAAGAAAAAAAACGTAAAAAATTGATAAAAATTCTACGCCAGAAAGTCGAATATTCATATATTTTGTATAGACCAACTTAACACACACACACACACACACACACACACACATATATATACTTATATTATATTACTCACACGTAGTTTATCAATTTTCAATAATATTATTTTGCCAAGCATGATTTTTACGGCTTATAAGCCAAAGTTACGTTTTGATATGGTATTAAAGATGTATTGTTAGGTTAGGTAATATCGGCGTTTGTAAGGTAGGATCACAGTATTAATGTGGGATGAAGGAACGATCGATCGATCGTTTCTGAGCGGATACAAAAGAAAGCTTGACGCATCCCGATAACCAATAAATGGCTACATCAACGCAGGTAACCGACGAACAGCCAGTGTACGCTCGGTGGGCTACTCGGACCTTTTCGTCCTTAGTAAGAAGGACATGTGGGATGTATTAAAGGAGTATCCTGCGGCTAGGATCAGGCTAGAAGCTATTGCAGTGAAAAGATTGGAAAAATACAAGAGAGCTCCTCTCGAGAAAGGTAAAAATATATACATTGTTAATTTATAACCTAACAAAATTATCCAAACAATTTTATTTATCACGTCCACTGATTATTTTGAATTATTTGAAACTCAAATACTATGTGGATAATAATATGGAATTCGATAATATAAGAGGAGTAGAATTATATAATTAGTACTTACTGCGTAATTGAAATCACGTACTTTAAGCCGGTATCGTCACAATGATTTTCGGCTGAATAACACTGCGTTACTAACGTTCCACAAGTTTCTCTAGCTACTTTCTAATTGGCTAGAGCGGCGTGGATCTTTATTCGCTCAAAATTGCGCGAAAATTGAAACATTATATGATATACATTAATTGTTTCCATACCATCTATTAAAAATATAATAAAAATAAATTTATAAAATTAATTTAATATGAAAACTAATGAAATAAAAAAAAGATTGCAATGAAAGAAGTATTTAAAAAAATCTTTTATTCAAACGTATTGAAATTGATTTAAATATCGTAATATCGATTCAAAATGGATTAAAATTCACCATTCAAAAATTTAAAATATTAAATAGAATTTAATAACAAGAAATTTGTAATAATTGGCAAAAAAGGAAATAATAATAAAAATTAAAAATTAATCGATTTTCTACTATATTGCTTCATATTTTAGCATCTAAGTATAACTTTAAACTATATACGGTCCTGAATATCAATACTGTCAAGAATATATATAGTGGAATCTATCAGTGGTATTACTTGATTGAGTGATTTATGATCTCACAATTTCTTTGAACGAATTACTAATTAATTGCTGAACTAATTAATACCAAAAGCATAAAAAGATTTTCGTGATATTATAAAAGCATTTTAATAAGATATTTCCTGAAAATATTTTCGGTGAAAACCAATCAGTGTATTATATTTTCAAGAAATGAGTGTCCTGTCTACAAGTAGTTTACAGTGTTTTATGTACATATTTAATTCAATAAAATTCGTAAGTACAATTTCTATTTTCCTATCTTTGTTTAATAGTCTGAATTATTAATAATTATTTAAGACAGAGCACAAATCGATACCTAATTGCCTTATAAAACAAAATTAATTTTTTATATAAAAATAATTTTTTAAATCATGACTCACAATAATAATAATGTTAATGTTGATCCAGAACTTCATAAAGTAGAGGTTAGAAAGGATCTCGCCACGAATAGTTTAACAAAGAACGAACAAAAACATCAAAGTCATTCTCAAAAGAATCTTAATCTTACTAGTGTATCGGTAACAAACGTGTCTAAACCACGAAACTTTAATTAATTAATCCGAAAGTTGAGCACAAAACAAATGCAACTCGTCTTCGCGGTTCTTTCTTTCGTTTGTTGTTGTTTCGCTGAAAGAAAGTTACGAACGGACTTTCGAACCGTTCGTTTCGTGTACACATACATGCACATATGTACATATATACGTATCTACTTCGAGGCGGTAAAGTGTAACACATACAAACACATATACGTTGGAGCGCGTGCGCGCGCTCGACACTGCAGTGACTGCACAATGAGAAAGGCTGTGGCTTAATTAAAGAAGCTCGCGGTGGTGAAAATGAGAGACGGTTAGACGTCATTGCCGAAGCGCAACTGGATCTGCAAGGCCTATTCTTGAACAAAGGACTCGAACACAAAACAAAGCGAATAAGCTTGAGACGAAATTTGAGAGAGAAAAAAAAAGAAAGATAAAAGAGAAAAGGAGATCGTACTCGTGAATCAATTCGACATGGAATAACGAGAAGTTCGTTCATATGTTTCAACTTTATTGCGTTTTGCCGCAATATGGATACCGTTGTTCGAAACGTAATATAAAGTTATACGTTGATTTGGAAAGAAATGTATCTTATGGGGTATATGTGTTATATAATTTTCAGTTTAACTTTACAAATTAATTATTTTTCGATAAATGTGTACGATAAGATTCGTTTATAAAAGTGTGGTAAAAAGTAATAATATTTCATAAATAAAAAATTTTAATTTCGTTTCAATTTTTTATTTTTATCTCGTATTAACAATTTTGATAATAAAAAAAAAAAAAAAAGAAATAAATAAATACGATTTTTACCGCAAAAAAGAAAAAAAAACAGAATTTGTATAAAATTTATTCGAGCGGTATTAAAATTAAAACGCATTAATTCCAGTTATCTTAAATTGTAGGACACAATTTTTATATTCAATTATTTTCATTAAAACTGATATTACTGATGTTTGTATTACATTATGCTTCTCTTATGAAAAATTTTATTTCTAATATGAATAATTGATTATGAAAAAAATGATTTCTCATAACATTTAATTTCTCAATTAAAAGATAATCAATTTGATAAAATGATCTATATCCTATAAGCAATTCCTTCAACACGAGAAGATTCTTAATTCAACTAAAAGTTCCATTACAAACAACATTGCTTCCCCGAAAACGAACTCGATACATACATCTGTCCTGACACATTTTACGACTACGATACAAACTTGCAGCTGCAATGGGTCGATGTCAAAGCACGCCAGGACTCGTGGAGTCACGAGGTCGTATACCATTGGAGGAGATGTGGGTTTCGCCCGTGGATACAAAGTCCACTCACGCGTACTCGACCGGCCACTCGTTGTTCTCCCCCAGCCCGAGTCCTGTGACGTCGCGCGGTTTGGCCAGCACCAACGTCAACGTGAACAACGTTGCGAGAAGCATGGATAGTCCGATGAGTGCCACTAGCAGCGGCCACAGCAGCGAGGACCAAACCACCAGGGCACCGCAATCCGCCACACAGCCCTCCACCGGCAGGCAGTCCACCCACTCTGGCAAGTATTTCATCTTGAACGCCACCGAGTGGAAATATACCGCCTTCCTTCTGAATTCTTCGACCTCGATTCTCTTTCTTCGTTCTCAGATCTTGAGATTGAACGAATTTTTTCCTTTGCAATTTAATGGATGTTAAATCACGAAAGAATCCTCCCCGAGAATTGAACTGCTCGATGCATGGTTTGATTTACACGATTGGCTCGTGTAAAAGACGACGATTTGTAAAAACATGATATGAAACTTTGTACAAAAATGAATTGAGAATCTATTATAACAATATTTTTTTTTTTCACAAGAATGATATTAAAAATACATTTTATTTTATGCATACATTTGCATACATTTGTTTTGTTAAATTTAGATTTCTTTCTTCTCTAAATCTAAATCTTTTTTAATAACTTATCCATATGTAAGAGATAAAACACATTTTTTTATAAAAATTCATATCGATGTTTAATTGTATGATATTTTACGTAATGTAATAGGCGAACTTGCGTAATTGAATAAGAAAATAAATGACAAAACGCACAGAATACATATATAATACAAATAATATATTCCGAATATGATAATATCGAATCCCTGTCAAAATGGTACTCATAAGTGATTAAAGGGTTATTGGCTCATACATTTTAATCGTAAACATTTACATTTCAAATAACACTGCTTTTCACTTTAATGAAGCAACAGTTTCAATTTGAATTATTTTATTCCATAATGTATTGTTTTTATTAAAAAGTAAATTAATTTATATAAATCGAACATAATTTATAAAAATGAATATTAATATACAAATATTACATATATCAATCAAAGTATACATATATATTATACTTTTAATTGATATATATTAAACATAGAGTTAATTGACTGATAATCTTCTAGGAATAACCTGCAACAGCATGACGCAATTAGTCGGCGAAGGTGCCACACCACTTTTAGGCACTAACGAAGCTTTATTAGCCGAAATTAAACGTCTTCGAGAACGTCTAGTTTGTTTGGAGTCTGAAAATGCTGCGATGAGTGCTAAACTGAATCAACAACAATGGGAAGTAGAAAATCGATTGGCCGAAATCGAGATGCAGATTTGCGGTGCTAGCTCGTCTTCCAGTTTAGAGGATAACAATGAAAGAAATCGAGAAAGTATCATTTAACAAGAAACAAGGCCGCGAGAGCGCGGCAAAACAAAAATAGGGCGAATACGACATTATTTGTCTGAAACTACGGATGATAGGTAAAATACTTTGCTAAGTATGCGAATACGTAAACAAATAATATTAAAATAATTATTTTGGAACGATTTTTCCGATCTTCTTTCATGTGTATGTGTAAATTTTTTTTTTTTATAGATATACAGCAGATGATCGAGAAGAATTTGAAGAAGCTAGAATCTCTGGAAGATCTAGTGATACAAAATCAATAGGTAGTCTCAGCCAACATTTCTTTGAAAGTGACGAAGATGAGAAATATTATGGTACTTGTAATGGTTATGCTTCTCAGCCTGGCAGTAAATCAAACTTATTGCTATGCAGTGAATGTGATCAGAAAACTCGTACCTGCACATACAGACCACAAACACCTGGTTCTTATAGTAGTAGATACGTCGAGGAACGTTTTGACGAGCGACTTCAAGAACCAGGAACTTCTCGCACATACAAAAGCCCAATTCATATATCTTCTCCTCGGTTAGTATATCATGATCAGGATTATAGTGGTCAATCATCTTCACCTAGATCAATTTATCGTGATCAAGAATATCAAACTCGAAGAGGTTGGTCGAAGAAATATGAACAAGAATTTGATCGAAGAGAGTATGAAGACAGAGAATTAAAGCAGGATGATGACAGTCCTGTTTGTGAAGTTTGTCATGGAAATGGTCATATTGTTCAATGTGAACATTGCGATTTTTCTAGCGAAGGTGATTTAATATGTTTCCGATGCCAGAGTGATGAAGGTTCATCAAATGGTCAAAGTTGTCCTCGTTGTGAGAAAAATGAAAGAATACTATCAAGTAGATCGCAAAGAGGAACATCATCCAGCGATGAGGGAAAATACCCAGTAGATGCTGTAGTAAAAATACAAGTTAATGATCATATGATTGATGTAGATTCAGATGAGACACCTGAAAGTGACTTATCAAGTAGTCATCATCATCAAAGAAGTACAATGGAACGATTAGATACTATTGTTGAGGCAAAAGGAGACACTGCCAGTGAAAATGACGAGGAAAATGGGGGTACAAAGTTAAATGGAACTAGTAGTGCAAGATATCTCAATTATATGATTGTACTGTTTCTGTAAATAACATGGTTATGGTAGCTGCAGTTGAGCTATGGATTATGTTGGTAAATGGAGAGTGTTGTTTTGTTGAAGCTATTGATTAAAAAATAATTTTTAATCTTTATTATAAGCTATTATAACATTTCTTGTTAAAAATATAATAGTGTTATGCTACATTGGATTTATAAACTTATAAAATTATATAATAAAAATCTAATATTTCCTTCACTGATGTTAGATTAGTAATTATAAATAGTACAAGTAACAATTGATAAATATTGATAAATATTCTTCAAAAAATTTTTTTATAATGCAATAAAAATTAGTTGAAACATTTTCAAAATAAATAAAAACCAAGGAAGCGTTAGATTGGAACATTTTACACTTTCTTATTATACTATTTCAAATTCTCATATTATGTGTAAAATTTCTAAACGATTTATACTAAAAATTTTGGAAATCAACTTACTAAATATTCAACAACGATACTCTTCATCTAAGTCGAAACATTTTCAAAAGTACAATTTCGCTGCACGAAAAAATCTATTGATTTTAACGTGTCATAACTTTTCAAAATGTTCCGTACTTCACAGATTGCTTGACATCGAAATTTGTTGCCGTATGATATTTTCGGCGCCGTAGCTCAACTTGCATGTAAATAAACTGCCAAAGGAACATTCATCCGTATATCGTAGGGCCGTATAGGTTAATAGGTAACTCGTAATGTTTAAAATGCTATATGAGAGAATGAGAAAGAAAGAAAGATTCGAACGAAAGAGTGAAGAGAAGAAAGAGAGAGTGAAAGAGGGAGAGATATTATTTTACGTTCGACACGCGCAGTGTTGCCATGAGCTGAGATCCGTAATGCAACGATCGACACGATTCCATGCGCGACTTTTAGAATAGGTTTGTGCAGAAATCGTGTTTATTTTAATTTATTGTTATTTTTATTGTTTCCTTTTCTTAAATTTTCTAAGAAAATTATATTTAATGGTTAAAAAAGTTTTATCATAAGTAGAGAAAATTTATAATTAAATTGAATGAAAAAGAAATTAGTTTGTCTATTATATATTATTTACCACGTGCAATTATTAAAACAAATTGGATATATTAATTGCAAATACATGGATTATATTTGCTTTGTAAGTATTTCAAAATATTTTAATTATCAACAGATAAAAGATTTGTACACAAACCTGACTAACTCATGTTCGGGACCAACTAAAGCCACCATCTGCATGACTGCTTCCGATTTCTGCTTTCATTTCCGCTCATTAGTTTTCATATATTGTTTTCAATATTCATATACGGAATACGAGAGTAGTATTAAACGATTTCCATATGCATCTGCTTATTGTCAAATTATTTTCATTTTAATGAATATTAGTTAATTGCTTCCGATTACTCGAAGAAGTTTAGTACAAAAATAGTGCTAAAACTTTTCATAAGATAATTTACACGATAAAATTGAACCTTATACAGTCTCATTTTCTTATACATTTTTCCTTTCATAATATACCAAAACCCAAATAGATAAAGACTACGGACGTGAATATAGTACTTACATATATATTTCGATCAGAATAAAAACATTCATAACGAGTCGTATTATCATAATTGAGCTTTGAAAGTTCAATTCAGATGAATGATGATATAGAATTCTTTGTCCTCGGATTAACGAACCATTATTCTTCGAGGGCCTCAACGGGACCGAATTTTTCCAGGTATGAAGAATCGAAATGGGATCACAACTTCCCTCCCTTTTTTCCCTCACTTTTAATAGATTTCATAATCGATAAAATTTGTTTAATTATTGCTAATACAATTTCAGCTATAACTTTCTTTAAAAAATAGAATTATTAAAATATTTAGAATTTTAGACAAATTTCTAGTCACGATTTTTGAAGATATGAATATTCGAAAACTAAAATTATTATTGGTATATATATATATTTTTTTTTTTAAGAATTATTTTTCATCATTCATTGATATTTATACATGATACTTGCGTAGATACTCATTAAATATTATAAATATTTAGTTGCGGGGGAAATGAACAGACTCGATCGTTTATATTATAGAAAAAAAAAAAAAAAAAATAAAGATGAAAGCAGAATAAATTCTTCGAACTATAAAATACGAAACGATTTATAATAAGGATAGCGACTTTTTTAGTATTTATAAATCATTGAATAGATTTTAATAGTTAAATACATTTTTTTAATGTTCACTTTCCACTTTGTAAGTAAAACCGCACACAATATCGCTTGGAACGGAAAAAAAAAACATTTGGATTTAATGAACGAAACGTGTAATTCCTATAGACAGAAAAAAGAAAAGGAGGCAAGGAGAAGAGAAATGCGCAGAGTATAATGCATAGTTATCTAGTTATCTTCGAATATTATAGAGGGAAGGTATTTCATGCGAAAGATTTTGCGGGATTCTAGACTTATGTATCATCTGTATGATATTCACGGCGATAGATATTATCGAGAATAGATCGCAAAGGGAATAATTAGTAAGATATATCAAACCTAACCTTACCTCGAAGCAAAAATGTAATAACTCGAAGGGATAAAAAAATTATATCAAAAATATAAAAATTTTCAAATTTTATGCAGAATATATCGAAAATCTAAAGATTTTCTTTATTTCCGTTATTATTAATTCACTTTTTACTGAAAACTATTTGCTCTCCATCCATCCATCCATAATAGAATTATTTTATCTTTACGATTCGTTCTCGTATAATTAACTTTTATGAAGTGAAGTGAAACAACAATAATATTTATACATACATATTATCGAGTTAGTCCATATTTGCGACGAGGTGTATACGAGGTGTACTATTCTACTGCCACATTTTAAAACTAGAAAGAACTTTGAAATCATTGAATAACCTATATACATTATCGCAAGATACATCGCGCATAGGGAATATACTGGAACGACTAATCTCTCTTTCTCTCTTCATTTTATAAAGTTTTATACGTGATAGCGTTTATTCCTGATCAAGTATTGATTTATTCGCATGACGCGCAACGCTGTAGTATCCATTTTGATTGTGGGTGCAATTCGAGATATACAGGAGCATGGTTTACTGTGACTGTATATAAAATGGAGAGAGAATGCCCGGTCGCATTCGAATGAGGAAAGGAGTGCGTTTAATCAGCCTTACTTATACAATTATTATCTACATTATTATTATAATAAATTTATAAGCATGATTTGTGTACGTATATGTATGTCGGCGTACTTTTAATTACAGCCTTGAGAGAATGCTGTGGACAACGATAATCTCTGAGCAACGCATGGCTTGTATGTTTGTCTATAGTTCTATCGTTGTTATAATACGTTTCGTTTCATTTTTCGTTTCACCTCGACACTCATAACATTTATAAATGTAAAAATTCTAGGCTATTTAAATGGCTGTGATACGTGTACGTTCATTAATTTTTTTTTTTTTTAAATGAATAACCAAGTAATTTTAACACGATTTATTTTATTATCATTTATATCTATTTATTTATCGTAATATCGTAATATGCGTCAACGAAAGATGTTTTTTTTTTCTTCTTCTTTTTTTATTTTATCATTTAGCCTGTTGCTCCGAGCAATTTTCTTATTTCATAATGTAAAATATTTCCGAAACACAGCATTGAAACTGCTGATGAACAATTTATGAACTTATCCGATATTATAAGCCTTCCGATATCTTATCATGTATGAATAATACGTTTCAGAGATACTAGATTTATAGTTAGATATTTTAGGCCCCCATCTTTAAATAAAAGTGTCTTATTATGACAAAAAAAAAAAAAAAAAAAAAGAAAAAAGAAAAGAAAAAAAAAAAAGATCAAAACCATATTAACGTAGCTCTTCGTTGTATTATCCATTACTTTCTACCATTTCTCACAAAATTTATCGTTTATTCATTGAATTGCCGTCGAATTAAAAAGCAATGTATTTTGAAGAGAGGAAAAGAAAAAGACATGCGAATAAAAATGAAAAATATAATAGTAGAAATATATAATATACCAGGATGGTGCGGTAGAAAAAAAAAAAAAAAAAAAAGAAAGAAAAGAAAAGAAAGATGTAGTGTCTCTGAAACTTTCGACGCGAGCCAGGAGTAGATTCGACGATTCGAGTCCGCTCCTAATCGCCATAGTTTTTATTCGATTTTGAGAAACTCGAATTTACACGATCGATAGAGATATATAATACTTCGAAAACGCTCGATTCTTCGCGATCTGAATAAATCTCGAATCCACGACTGTTTGCATGATATTGATTTTATTGAGATGTTTATCGGTGTTAAGAAGGAAAAAAAAAAAAAAACGGAAAACGAGATGTGTTCGCCACTCGCGAGGAGGGGCGAAGAGTGACGGCTCCCCCCTCTCCCTTCCCCCTCCCTCCCCCTCTCCCTTCCCCCCTTCCCCCCACCCCCTCCCCTTCCCCCCACCACCCCCTCCCCTTCCTTCCCCCTCCTCCCTTCCCCCTCCCCTCCTCCCCCTCCCCCTTCCTTCCCCCTCTCCCTTCCTCC